AAAGTGCAAAATGCCCCCCCAGTCGGCAAACAGCGCCAATACTTGTTTCTGGACTCCAAAGCTTAATGTTCAGCATAACGAGCATTCGTAAGAACGGTCAAAACACAGACCAGACAACAATCATGAGAAAGCATGCCCATACCCCCCACCCCCACCCCACCAGGGCGCGTCCTGCCGTCCGGGAAAATTTTTGCACAATACGACCTTCCTCCTCAGGACCTCCTCTTCTGTACGACGCATTCCCCATCCTAGGACATCTCCCCAACTTCCAACCGCTTTTCCGGAAATTTACTCTGCTTTTTCTGGAAAAGCGACAGCCGTCGATCCGGGAGGGGCGAGTGGGCGGATATATGGTGCACAGGAAATGAAACCGAGAGAAATCAGTAACTTTTCTCGGAGGCAAATGTGACCCCTTTTGCTGGGGATCCCCAATGCACGACATGCTTCTTCTCCATATAGGGCTTTGATTCTTGGAAGTAATCCCTCAAGTTACCAGTTTCTATGGGTTGGTTTTGCCTCTGAGAAAGTCATTCAGTGAGGGAACTTCTACGGAACCAGATGTAGGAACAAGTTCCAGGCCATAAATTCTCTTAGGATGAGAACAGCTTGGTTCTATACCTAAGCACAGCTAGACATGTATTGACGATTACTGTGGTAAGGCTTCCAAGCTTAATCGCTGGGAAAAAAAGAGAAGCCCTTCCGCTGCACTCACTGACGGATTCTTTTGCGTCATAACTTTCACTTTACTGCTACTAATCAAGTAAAGTGAGCAGAAACATGAATACGAAACCCGGAAGAGGTAATTCACCCATTATAATCGATTGATACTGATATTGGAGCTCTTGAAGTTGAAAATGACTTCGAAAGGTAGTTGAGAAGGGAATAAATATACTGCTGAAGGCGCAACGGTGAAGAATTGAGCGTGTTAACCTTTCCAAATAAGGGCGCCAGAACATACCTGTGGCGCTGGTTCCCGTAGCATAGACGAGATGGCGCTGTACAGACGACATCCTCGTGTTCAGAGGGTCGAAGTATCCGGGGAACAAATTTCTGGCCAAGTTTCGGCGCTGTTATTTGGAGACACCAGACGGCCGTGTCCTGGCTCCCCTTCCTTTGAGCAGGCTTAGGCTTACATCGCAGCTCAGAATCGCTCGCCGAGGGCAGTCCCGCAGAAAAGGCGCAGTCTTTACAGAGCCTATGTCTTGGTTAGGGGAAGGGAACAAAAGCGATGCAGTTCGTCCCTTCCCCCCTACAGCTGAGTTAGCGCCAAAATTTCTTTCACAACAACAAATTTCGAGGAAAATCGAGCTCGAATCCGAGAAAAAGGGGCAGCAAAGAAAGGTCTAGGCATTCGCAGATGGTTCAGGGGCATTTGGTGCGATAGTG